CCAACCTCCATTTCTTTCTCTCTTTTACTTAACCGCTTATGATGGTTAGTTTTAGGGCATATTTCATTTAGCATACCTTATGCTTGCATGCGTGCATCCTTTCATCTGTATTGCATGCACCGGACTCGGCGCATCATACTAACTGCATTGTGTTTCAATTCCAAGTTGAATACATGTGTCAAGTTGCATTTCACATGTCATTCTAGAATAGCCGAGCCTATTTTAGTTGCATTTTTGCATGTGTTGCATTAGCTATCTTAATATGAACTAGGATCATGCATGATTTCTAACTAGTTCTTTGTTTTGGCTCGGAGTATACTGTGAGTGTTTACACTTTAGCATATTGCATGTGTGTTAATGTTGCCATGAAAGCATGCTTGCTATGAGGCTAATTGCTTATTTGATTAACTGTCTGAATGCCTGTGGGTGAATGTTGGATTACTTGAATTGGAACAATTCATCAAATCCGTATTTTAGCCTACTTGCGAGTAACAAACTTCAAACCGTTTTCAAACGAATATGCAATGTTTTGTTCCAAATTAGGCGATCTAGTCTATACTTGTTTGCTGTGCGCATCACATAGTAAGATTAGCTAATTAATCGGAATAAGAACACATGTGTTTTTCAAAAAATAAAATATCATGCTTAGTACAGGTCAATCTTTGATCGGGCGAACGGGGGTGGTCATAGATGACCTTCCCCAATCGTACCCAAGTTCCCGAGCCGAGGCAACTTTGATGATGACGGACACGTGGCCTTAGGTACGAGTCAGGGTTTCCTAAATTCCCTCAAAATAAAATATTTAGGTGGCAACCCTGTATCTGGCAAAACAGTCCATGTTTGGCACTTTTTTACAAAAATCAGTTTTCCAAAATAATTTGCCGGATTTGGACTCTTTGGTGATTTATCAATCTCACATCGCATATTGTGAGATCAGATTAAGAACCGTGACATTGAGTCCGAACTGTAGCATGAAGCCCAAGGGCCCGTCTACACTCGGATTTCGATATCTTCGCTAATAACCCCAACCTAGCTAAGATCATCTCAGCATTATGACCAGGATACGTGGCACCCCGGCTGGCACTTCGGTGACATCTTGGCTACGTGTCGTCATTCAAATTTATGACCCCACACCCTCATTAGAATATTTCATTGAAATTCTTTATTTCATGTGATTTTTCATGGCAAATCTCATTATTTTTTTGAAGGGAATTGTTTTTATTTTTTTGAAGGGAAATTTCCCTTTGCTTTCTCTTATGATTTGGTCTATGTTTGCATAATTTCCTTATATTTCAAAATAATCACTTAATCTCTTGTGACTTGTGAATTAAAGTGTTTCGTTAGATTCGTTAATGATTTAATTAAAAAATTAAAATACTATTGTCTATAAACAAACTCATTGTGCAAACCATAGATATATTCGTCAGCTTTTTGAAGGTAAAATTCACTTTAATTTACTGTGCTTTAATTCATGAGTGATTTACCGCATCCGACATTTAAAATTTAGTACATAATCCCCTTACATTTTAGCACATATTTCATACTTATTGTTAATTTGAACAGAAAATACCTAACAGTGAATTTTAATCCACAAACTACTAGGATTATGTATTTATTTGGTCCTACACATATACATTGTTTTTAGAATGATCCAAATCATTTATTTTTTAAATAGTAATGTTGGGAACATAAAAACTAAACATAGAATGGGACATGGCCCTCATTTTGTTCCATTTTATGTTTGGTTTCTATACACATAGACTTACTCTTTTCTAAGGCTTTTTTGAGAAGTTGGATTTAGGCTAAAATAGGCACTAAAGACAAAATAGGTTAAAATAGTCAATAAGATAAAATGTTATATTTATAGCGTATATATTATTTTATTTTTTCTTTCACAATTATCAAATCTACTACCAAAAAAAAAAAAAAAAGTCAACTATCATTCAAAACATAACTTATTTAGTCAGGTTAAAATAGTCAAAAAATCAACTAAAATGGATTTAGGGTGACTGCTATGCGGGGGGCACAACAGCCACTGTACCCGCACAGCAGCCATTGCTATGCAATGAAATGGGCCCATTTCGATAATCCAAACCGTTAACATTTTAAGAATACATCCAATAGAACATGCTTGCAAAAAATCAAGTTAATCGGATATCATTTACCCATTCATCCACTAACATTTGTATCTACAAAAATAAATAATAATTGTGATTTAAAGTATTAAAATGAATACAAATGTGAGTGGATGAAAGGGTTAACGATATTCGATTAACTTAATTTTTTTTTAGGTACGTTCTACTTGATGTATTCTAAAATGTGAACGGTTTAGATTATCGAAATGAGTCTCGAAATAGATCCATTTGGGTGCACAGCAGCGACCCTAAATCTAACTAACATAGCTTATTCCCAAACAACATATTTGTTTTCAAAAAAATATATGGCATATATGATTCTGAAATAGACTATTCGTATACTGAATACAGTGTGATTTGATTATGTAACTACAATTACCCAATCAATTTTATTTCTTATATGATATAACTTCCTGAATGCCTATGGGTGAAGGTTGGATTGCTTGAATTGGGGTAATTCATTGAAATCCGTGTTTTAGCCTACTTGCGAGTAGCAAACTTCAAAATATTTTCCAAATAAACGGATATGCGATGCTTTGTTCCAAATTAGGCGATTTAATCTAACTTGTTTTGTTGTGCGCATCACGTAGTAAAGATTTGCTAATTAACTGGAATAAGAATGCATGTATTTTCAAAAACTCGATATCATGTTTAGTAGTGGCCGATTTTTGATCGGGTGAGCGGGGGTGCTCATAGATGACCTTCCCCAATCGTACCCAAGTTCCCAAGCCGAGGCAACTTTGGTGATGACGGACACGTGGCCTTAGGTACGAGTCAAGGTTTCCTAAATTCTCCCAAAATAAAATATTTAGGTGGCAACCCTGTATCTGGCAAAACAGTCCATGTTTGGCACTTCTTTACAAAAATCAGTTTTCCAAAACAATTTGCCGGATTTGGACTCTTTGGTGATTTATCAATCTCACATCGCATATTGTGAGATCAGATTAAGAACCGTGACATTGAGTCCGAACTGTAGCATGAAGCCCAAGGGCGCGTCTACACTCGGATTTCGATATCTTCGCTAATAACCCCGGCCTAGCTAAGATCATCTTAGCATCATGACCAGGACACGTGGCACCCCGGTTGGCACTTCGGTGACATCTTGACTACGTGTCGTCATTCAAATTTATGACCCCACACCCTCATTAGAATATTTCATTGAAATTCTTTATTTCATGTGATTTTTCATGGCAAATCTCATTATTTTTTTGAAGGGAATTGTTTTTATTTTTTTGAAGGGAAATTTCCCTTTGCTTTCTCTTATGATTTGGTCTATGTTTGCATAATTTCCTTATATTTCAAAATAATCACTTAATCTCTTGTGACTTGTGAATTAAAGTGTTTCGTTAGATTCGTTAATGATTTAATTAAAAAATTAAAATACTATTGTCTATAAACAAACTCATTGTGCAAACCATAGATATATTCGTCAGCTTTTTGAAGGTAAAATTCACTTTAATTTATTGTGCTTTAATTCATGAGTGATTTACCGCATCCGACATTTAAAATTTAGTACATAATCCCCTTACATTTTAGCACATATTTCATACTTATTGTTAATTTGAACAGAAAATACCTAACAGTGAATTTTAATCCACAAACTACTAGGATTATGTATTTATTTGGTCCTACACGTATACATTGTTTTTAGAATGATCCAAATCATTTATTTTTTAAATAGTAATGTTGGGAACATAAAAACTAAACATAGAATGGGACATGGCCCTCATTTTGTTCCATTTTATGTTTGGTTTCTATACACATAGACTTACTCTTTTCTAAGGCTTTTTTGAGAAGTTGGATTTAGGCTAAAATAGGCACTAAAGACAAAATAGGTTAAAATAGTCAATAAGATAAAATGTTATATTTATAGCGTATATATTATTTTATTTTTTCTTTCACAATTATCAAATCTACTACAAAAAAAAAAGTCAACTATCATTCAAAACATAACTTATTTAGTCAGGTTAAAATAGTCAAAAAATCAACTAAAATGGATTTAGGGTGACTGCTATGCGGGGGGCACAACAGCCACTGTACCCGCACAGCAGCCATTGCTATGCAATGAAATGGGCCCATTTCGATAATCCAAACCGTTAACATTTTAAGAATACATCCAATAGAACATGCTTGCAAAAAATCAAGTTAATCGGATATCATTTACCCATTCATCCACTAACATTTGTATCTACAAAAATAAATAATAATTGTGATTTAAAGTATTAAAATGAATACAAATGTGAGTGGATGAAAGGATTAACGATATTCGATTAACTTAATTTTTTTATAGGTACGTTCTACTTGATGTTTTCTAAAATGTGAACGGTTTAGATTATCGAAATGAGTCTCGAAATGGATCCATTTGGGTGCACAGCAGCGACCCTAAATCTAACTAACATAGCTTATTCCCAAACAACATATTTGTTTTCAAAAAAATATATGGCATATATGATTCTGAAATAGACTATTCGTATACTGAATACAGTGTGATTTGGTTATGTAACTACAATTACCCAATCAATTTTATTTCTTCCATTGATGATCCTCTCTAAGATTCCAAATAATCAATAGTTCGAATGAATCCAATATTGGGCCCAGGCTCATTAGTTCCTTCCAACTAGAATTACTAACCGGAGAGAAATTAAATTTTTATTTTAAAAAAATAAATTTAACAATAAATAATATTTCTCATGATAATAAAATAAAAAATAAAAAAATTTGAGAGTGAGACAGATAGATGGACCGCGATGTCCTCAGGAGGGGCAACAATGGTTAGTAAGCCCAATGGGTTCGGCTCCCAACATGTCCCGGAGCTTCACCCTCCCAAAACACCCCTGGTCTCTCTCTCTCTCTCTCTCTCTCCTTTGCCCCACACATGACCTTGTTTTCTCTCTCCTCCTCAAAGTCCCACTTTAAATACCCACACCGCCACTCCATTACACACCACACCACCCTACTCCTTTCCTTCTCTCCCTACTTCTCTCCCTTTCCCTCTCATCTTCACAAACACCTCTTATTTCTCTTCTCTTTACAAAAAAGAAAAGAAAAAAATGGCCATTAAGAAATCAAACAAGCTGTCACAAGCAACAGTTCTGAAGCAAATTGTGAAGAGGTGTTCAAGCTTGGGAAAGAAACAAGGATATGATGAAGAGGGTCTTCCCATGGATGTCCCAAAAGGCCACTTTGTTGTTTACGTTGGTGTAAACAGAAGCAGATACATTGTTCCAATCTCTCTCTTGACTCATCCTGAGTTCCAGAACCTTCTTCAACGTGCCGAAGAAGAGTTCGGGTTTGATCACGACATGGGTCTTACCATTCCTTGTGAAGAAGTAGTTTTTCAGTCACTTCTTGTGGAATAGAAAGAGTGTGTGTGTGTAGGTAAAGTAGGGTCTTTGTTTGAAGAGATCATGAAGATGTTTCACTGCTTCTCAGTTTTTTCATTTTCATTTTCATTTTCATTTTTCTTTTCTGTTACAGTTAGTTTAACCCAAAAACCCGAGAACACATTCTGGGTTTTAGATATAGCATATGTATATCTCAAAAGGTTTGAAATTTTTCCTCACAGTGGTGTTTGGTTCTGTGCCCTGTGAGAGAAGAGAACTAATATTAATGATATTTGGGGTTGATGCCCATTTTAATTCACTCTGTGTTTATATATATATATATATATATGTTCTAAGAAAAGAATAAGCACATTGAAATCAACGATCTCTCACATTTTGTTGCTATTTTAGATTTAAGTTGAAATGATCATTCATCAACTTCAGTTCATCAGTCCTTGCAAATAACTTTAGCTAAAAATAAAATAATAATAATAATAATGATAAATCCATTCATGATGGAGTTTAGGTTTCTCCTTCATCTTCATTATGGAGTTTAGGTTTCTCTTTCATCTTTTTCAAGGAAATAGATGATTCTGATTCACTGACTTGTGCAATTAATCATGGTCAAGAATATCAACGTAACATGCTGATATGGTGATCTTGAATAAAATTGACTTAACCTATATTAAATATCCCCTCTAGCACGACTTTAAGAGCACCATATGCATATTTCATCGTAAAATTTATAATTATATGCATGTTTATGTCGATGCTTCCAGCTATATCAAAACAAAATGAAAGGTGAGTTAGTTATAGTATATATGATTCCCTATAATTAAATCTCTATATCTTATAGTATCTATATGGTTGCAAATTAGTAAAATTTTTAATACTCTAATGGTCGTGAGTATAGGGACAGCAAAATAAAAATATTCTTAGTCTAATTCTAGTGATTTGAGGTCAGAGCCACCACCATTGTGTTTGAGTCTATTTAATATGATTTATTATAAGTTAAAAGTTAACAATTAAACAATAGAAATGAAAAGTATCATTCCTTAAACATTTAGAGATAATCAATTATTTTTTTAATTATTTAAATTATTTTTACCTAATAAATATATAATAATAATAATAATAATTCTAACAAACTGCATTAAACATCTCTTTTGTTTTACTCTGGTTTATGAATTCTATGAAGACTTGAGTTTTGATCCTTCATCACTTGTAGTGTTGGTATGATCTTGATGAGAAGACTTTTAAAAGAGTGGCCCACACAGATCCAAATAAAGTAAAAGGAGTGGCCACCAATATTATGATCATGATTTATCATAGCCACTTGGACCTTTGCCAGTGAAATTATGTTATCTTTTTACAGTATTATTAAAATCATGCCCAATATCTATCTATCTAATCTATACATATCTATGATATATCCTTACACTAGTTCAACCCTATCCCTGTTCATTGCAGGCTTGGTGGTCCAACATCCTATAAATGATACATCTTAATTGATTTTGCGAACTAAGATGATAATCTTAAGATTATTATTATTATTTTTTAATTGTGTATTTTTTTTTTCTATTTGGATGTTATCTCAAGATTACAAGAAGGCATTGAGAAAGTTCTATTAATTTTATAATTTAATTAATTAGTTTGAACCTCTTCATAATCCTCTATTTTATATCTCATCCTTCCTCTTGGGATTCAATAGTTCCTTAGATTTTTAGATGGACTATTAATCTAAACCCCAACTTTTTTAATCAAATGTCAGATTATACATTTTATTAGAATATTAATCTCAATAAGGTCATGCATGCCCAAACGAACAGAGATGAACTCCTCTTCATACCTTCATCTTTCCATACCTCTCTAGTGGGCCCGTATTATGATCCGCAACGATGATTCGAACCGTCTAACTCAAAGGCCTCTCAATAAAAATCATTCATCCAATTAGACACGTATAAGCATATAAACAAATCACATTTTGTTTTATAAAATAAATGACAAATATGAATGTAAACTTAAACTATTCATTTATAAACAAATTGCGATTTGTTTCTTTATTTGTAATTATTTGATGGAGCTTCTTTTAAGAAAAACAAAAAGATTTTAAAGAAAATACAATAAGCCTTACAGTTTTGACATAATTATATTCGATTCTCTTAAAATTTTAATTCACATAGCACTTTTCATTTTCATCCGTAATTCATAGTCATATGAATGGAAAAATAATTTTGTTATCTTTTTTTACTTTGAAATATATATTTCATCTTATTTATCTTCGTGTTTTCATACTATATAGTATATATATTAGTTTTTGGTCTATTTAGTCTTACTAAAGGGAAGGTTCTGATGAATTTATTGTATTTTTATAAAAAAAAATTAAGAGAGTTCAGTATAATTCACTCTTCTTTCTTTGTAATGATAAATTTAAAATTAGTATGCCGGTACATACTGTACTAATAAAAAAATGAAAATAGAAAGAAGATATACTAACGGATACGGGATTAATAACTTTGCTACAAACATTTTTTTGGGGGTGATGGGGTTGGGGGTTGTTATTTAAAGTATTAGTTATTGATTTCTTGGGCAAAGGTCATGTGTCGTTTCTTTTTTAAACCATCAAATTTGGTTTGTTGAAAACATGTAGTAGATTCCATATTCAGTGGTGTTAATTTAAAGATAAAATGTGTTCTTAGGCCTTTGAAATTCAGAACAAGGGACCACACCATTGACTTATTATTAAATGGAAACAAAGTTCACATGTAAAACAGTATTATTGATTAATGAAGTATATCATCTTCTCTCAATCTCTACATAGCTAGCTTAGATTGAGATCTGGAGAGCTGTAGCTTGGGAAGTTAGAAAAATGGAAAATATCAATTTAGGGTATAAAACTAAAAAAAAAAAAATTAGTAAAATATGGTGGTACAACTCAAAAGTTGTCGGGATACAATTTTAAATTGTATCCCTCCATATTTGTATAAATTTTTTTTTTTCATAATCTCCCTTAATAAAATAAAAAAAAAAAGGTTAAAATCCGAGATGGACAGGGCATAGCCACTTATGTTGGGAGATTGACTTTCATGTGGGACAGACATGTTGGGATTCTAATATTTGAAGTTTTTTGTCACTAAATGGAAGATATGACTTACCTTCCACAACTTCAAAACTTTGTAAGCTCTCTAAGTCTTTATTTTTATTTTATTTTTTTATTTTTTAATACAATTGGTAGGAGAGAAATAAAGTAAGAAAAAATTGTGCAGCGGTGAGACTCGAATTTATAAAATTGCTAAATAGAGAATTAAGAGAAGTAAAAATTGTATGAAGTTGTGTAACCGATATTGAAGGTCACAAGCTTAAGTACCCCATACAACTTCAAAACCGTACTACCGACTTCAATCCTGACTATAGTTTCAATAAGGGCCAATGTCCAGTTTCGGCCCGTTTACCTATCACGGGTTATTTTGATGATTTAATCGGTTAAGTTTCTAGATTCCCTTGTTATATTCGTATTCAATAAAATAGACAATAAATATGATTTGGAAAATGGAGAAATCATGTAAAAAAATATGATAAGATCATGTGTTTACAGCAATCAAATCAACTTGAGATTATTTATGAAAAATAAGGACAACATAAAGGCTGGGGCTTGTCCACCATTTGGGCTAGAGGGTCCAGTCTGGCTCATTGGGCTCACTTTTGGACTCCTTTTTAATAATTTGAATCGTTTACATTTTAGGATTTGTTAAGTATATTATCCCTGTCAAAAATCACATCGATTGGATAACGGATATTATGTATTTGGATAACTTTTTTATGAACCGTTAATTTTCTGACCATCTATTTTTTCCAGACAAAAGTGATCATAATAGTATCTGTTATCCGATCGACGTGATTTTTTACAGAAATAATATACTTAAGAAATCTTAAAATGTAAACAATTCTGATTATCGAAAAGGGGTTCAAACGTGAGCCCAATAAACCGAACTGGATCAGACTGTCTCAAATTTGGATTGGACACCATTCAGACCCCAACATAAATATTAAGGCCTCAATTGGGAAAAAAATAAAAATAAAAAAAAAAACTTTTGACTTATTTCAAAAAGCCAAAAGCCAACTTATTTGAGCAAACAACATTTGGAAAGATGGAAATATGTCAACAAATAAAATTACCAAAATACCCTCGTGTGTATAGATTTTGACTAGGATAAGGAGGATAATATGGTCAATTTATATTTTTTGCAAGTGATGTGACACCATATTATAATAATTTTGGAAAAAAAAACTGCTTATTTAACACTTTCCAAATGAATTTATCAATAAGCCAAAAGACAAAAAAAATAAGTACAAAAATTTCTGATTTTCATCTTTCCAAAATAGGAAAATCAGAAGTAAGTACTCATTTGAATCATGACTATGTACACTTGACAAATTCAATGAGTACTTATTCAAAATCAGAAATTTCTTAAAAAATTTCAATGAGTACTTATTCAAATTCAATGAGTACTTATTCAAAAATTTCGGATTTTCACCTTTGCAAAGTCAGTGCCCCTGATCAGTCCAAAGGCCGAAGACTTTTCTTAAAAAATTGTTGAACCAGACCAGTCCAAAGGCCATAGGGTCCAATGGTCATAAATATCTCATCTTTAGCTAATATGATATTTATATGAACTTGACACATGAGAAAATCAATAGAGCCCTTTTTATTATAAAATATCATCACAACATTTGACAAAACAAGATTTTTTAATTTTTGATTTTTAATCAACAACTTGAGATCACAGATGTCTAAGAATATAATCGGTGCTTTTCTTAATGCTGCTGTGTTTGGTTGGGAGATTTGAGGAAGGATTTGAAAAAAGAAATAGAAAAGGTAGGTGAAATATGAATAAAACATACTTATATTTCACTTAATTTCACACACTTTTTCCCTTTTCCTTTTCAAATCCCTCCCTAAATTTCCCAACCAAACACAGCGTAAATGAATTACAAAATAATTGTACCATAAACTTGGGGTTTGAAATGGCATGGTGGGTTGGACTGTCCATGTTTTCATGTTGAGTAACTTAGCTTAAAATGTTTGAATAATGTTTGCTTTAAAAAAATAAATGACAAAGCTAATTTTAAGAAAAATTATTTAATTTTTGTAATATAAATTTGATTCAAACATATAGTTATCTATGTACAATTGTCTTGCTTTTTTATATAAATATTTTACTTAACGAGTTTTAAAAAGTAAACGATTCAAATTATCAAAATTTACTCCAAAATAAACGTATCAAGTTCAAACGCTGCCTAAAATTAAGATAGCTGATCATCAGTCTGTTCAAGCCAGCTATCATTTTGAATATATTTTCCTAAAAACAAGCCTAGAGACACATCACTTATCCATGGGCCCAATAGGTGATGTGTGTCCGGTGTCTGGGTTTTTATTTTATTTTAAATTACATTCGACAACCAAAATTTAAAAAAATAAAAGGAAAATATTTTGCATTTGTTTAACTTTCATCTTATTTGTTTGTTTGTTTGTTTGTTTGTTTTTTTAAATTAATTATTAAAAGCTGGTCTTTGGGTTGTCCTGACACTGACAGGCCCTTAAAACAATTGTTGATTTCCCTTTTCCTGGGCTAAGCTTGCACATTTTGAGCCCATCCCAGCCCAGCCCACTTGGTAATGCATGAATAATGGGCATGTCGACTGTGGCCTTTGGACTCTATACTGCTTTAAAGCCCAGTGTATCCATAATTAGAGTGCTAACTAAGGGTGGGCTCGGGTGGGTCCGACAATACATAATAGGAAATTTTGTATTTGTCTACGTCAGGCCCGGCCCAAATATCAGACCTCTACATCTTCGCAAGTCTGGTCTAAAAAATAATAATGGGTATGGGGGTATTTGGTGCAGCTTTTTTAAGCTAACTTATGGCTTCTGGCTTTTAAAAAGTTATTTTGGACTGTTTGGTTAAACTTATTTCAAACAGCTTCTGATTCTAACAACTTATTTTAAGTCAAAAAAGCTGATTCTGAGAAGCTGCTCACCCCTTGCTTCTGATTATCAGCTTCTGCTGTTGACATGTTTATTCACCGTTATACTCTTAGATTTTTTTATTTTTTATTTTTTTAAAAATAGAAAAAGACTTAAATGGACTATTAAATATTATTATTATTTTTTATGAAAAATGTAGACAAATAGTGAATAATAAAAAATAAAAATTAATTGAAAAAGCTACTTCACAGCTTATTTAACAAACACTACTCAGCAACTTAAATCTATAATCCAACAGCTATACCAAACAGATTAACCGCTTCTGATTAAAGTCATAATCTATAATCTGTTAAGGTATAATCTATAATCTGTTTTAACAGCTACACCAAACACCACCTATGTTTGGCTTGTGTTTGAGAGATGTGTTTTAGAGATAAAAAGTACGAAAAATTATTTGGTTTGGTTTTTTTCAAAAGATGTTTTGAAAAATTATTTTGAGAGAGAGTTTTGGAAAAAGTGACTGATTTGATGTGTGTGAGAGAGAGATTTGTTTGGAAAACTTGTTTGGTTTACAAGTTTTGAGAAATTTTTTTGAAGAAATTTGTTTGGTTTGATTACTTTTAAAAACTTATTTGTAGAGAAAATTTCCCAAAAATTTTTCACAAATACAAACCAAACGAACCCAATAAATCTCAAGCCCACCTATCGGACTATATGTTAAATTTTTTTTAAAACATTCCATAATTGAATTCAACCACACATTCTAATTCTTAAAGAAATTTAATTACACATCACTACAAATGTAAGTTTTAATAAAATCAATAAAGATAAAGGGTTGGTTTGGCAAGTGTAAAAAAAGCCAAAAAGTCACAAAGTTATCAAAAAATTTATCACTATTTATCAAAAAAAAATATAAAAAAATTAATATACAAATATTAAATACAAATCAATTTTTTGGCCCATCATGATTCTAACGTTACGCCAGCTTTAGTGAAAGAAAAAAAAAAAATTGCATGTGTACATTCACTAAGTTGCATGGGTCCCGTTTTGATAATCCGAACCGTTCAATATGTAGAACTCGTCTAGTACTATGATCAAATTAGTTTTGTATAAAAATTGGATAGTGTTATAGTTAACAGTTGACAAAAAAAACTAACACGATCAGATAGCTATCAATATCCAATCAACGTGATTTTTTACAAGCATATAATACTCGACGAGTTCTACACATTGAACGGTTCTAATTAGAAAAACGAGACCCGTGGTGGTCCCCATGGGCCGAACAACATCGTCCAATTAAAGCCCGAAAAGGAGGTAATTTTTTCCCATGTATTCATCCAGCTGACTGACTGCCAATCCGTACGGTGTACTACACTATCTTCTCTTATAAACTTCTTTATATAATTTTTTAATACACATTTTTTTCATAAAAAGTCAAAGTTAACCCAAACATCCATATTTTCTTCCTCAACTTTTTAGTCTAAAAAAATAAAAAGTGTACTTATTTAGGACACCCCAAGCAAAAGTCTAGATCCAACAAAAATATATATGTAAATATATTATAATTAATTGATTTAATAGTGGGTCGACTCAGGCTGAATTGAAAATAGATCTTCCTTGACAGATAGCCACGATTAGTGTCATAGCACGCTTATTGCTTCATATAAGCAATAATCCTTTGTTATATAAATAATCCCTGGAATCCTAAAGCTTTGTTGTTAAGGAAGGGAAAGCAATACGCTGCTTCCAATATCCTTCTTCAGGCAGCTTGGATAGGGCATTTTCTTGTCCCACCTGGCAAGGAATTAGGTTAAAATAAAAAAGAAAGGATTTGTTGCTTCAACCTCTTTTCTAATAGTAGGTAGGAAAGACAGTAGAAGGAGAGATTAGATGAAACGTTTAGTAGTTTGTAGTTTCCCTTCTTGCTCTAAAAATTAAGAAAGACTTGTTGAAAATTGCCGGTTGGGTTTGTCCAACCAAGAAAAGCAATGGAGTCTTTGGGCATTTGTCCAAGAAAATCAAAGGTTCGCTTCCACGATTTTATCTATATTGAATCTCAATATTAGAATAGCGTATATAGTCATGATTCAATTCAGGGTCATTGACTTTTGGTTGATTTCTCTTCCGGACCTGATTGGAATAATGGAGAACTAGGAAGCCCAGCCCATCATCGGGCTAAAAATGTTGGTCTAACTTGGCCCAATGGGCTAAAACAACATTCTCAAAACCTAAAAAAAAAAAGGTTGGACTGGGCCAGACAGACTAGGCAGGACAATGGGCCGATGCCCAACCCTAGTATTGACCCACCAAATTTCTTTGGACACCCGCTTACAAATTTTGAAATTTAATTTTTTTTTTAACACCCACTTTTAAGACTGCAAATGAATAGAGTCGTTCGTAAACAGACTCGAACTCGGCTTGCTAAGGGCTCGTTCAAATTCGATTTGTTATTTTTTTTTCTTATTTATTTATTTATTTTGCGTTTCAGCTCAACTTCAAACTCATTAAAATCTTAATAAATAAGTCCAAACATACTAAAACTTAACTCGTTAGCTAGCTCATTTAACATTTATTATTTATATATTAAATAATGTAAAAATATGTATAAAAAAATAAGATAAATATGTTATTTATATATTTAAAAAACGTAAATGTAAATAATAACTAACTATAGATAATACATTTATATAATAGTAGTGGTAGATATTATTATTTTAATAAAATATTGACTTTTCTTTTAGTATGTTTATATATATTGTTTATATTATTGTATAATTTAAATTTAAATTATAACTTTAGTCTCATACACAATATGAATTTATAATTTTTTTTTTAAGGCTCGTAAATTGGCTCGATCTTGAGTCAAGTCTAAGCCAACTCAACTTGAGCTCGGCTCATTAAATTTTTATCAAGTTCGAGGCCGAACTCGTTAAAATCTTAATAAACAAGTCCAAACATATTAAAACTCGACTCGGCTCGGCTCGGCTCGTTTGCAACCTTACCCGCTTTAATATTAATTCTATCTTCATCCATAATATTTGAAATCTTAACAACAGCCACCACCTCTACTTCCAACAACTGTCACCGCCACCGGCACCTCTGGCAGCCCTTCCCCCCACCTCCACGCCACACCTTAGCCCCATTCTCACCCTATCTAACCCCTTCTTCACTCCCCATCTCCTCCGCTCCCTTCCCTTCTTTTCCTTATCTGCAAACTCGATCAAGCATGATTTCTTTTCTCTCGGCCAAGGTTAGTGGGAGTGAATGAAGGCAGTGGAGACCGACAAGGGAGGAGGATGTGGGGTGAACAAAGGTACAAAGGAGTAGGATAGCAAGAAAGGGGTGAGGAGGAGTGGGGCAACGATGGGGAGGTTAGGGTAGAAAGCGGCTGGGAATGGGCCGGGGAAGGTGACTGGAGTTGGGGTGGGGTTAGGGTTTGAGGGGCTGGGAATAGAGATCAAAATTGAAATTTTATGATGGGTAAACTTGTAGTTAAAAAACAATGAAGGGGAGTCGAGCGTGATGCCATTAGCAGCACTCCAAACTTAACCACGTGATGGAGCTCATTCAGACCTCATGTTTGTGATCTTTCTCAACAACATTACTTCCACACATGATTTCCAGTTCCATCAATGTTCATTCCTTGTTTGCCGACAAAAAATAAAATAATATTTATATTTATATTATATAAAAAGTGGAAAAACATAAGTATCATATGTTCACTCAAACAAAATGAAAACGACTGGAGATCATATACAACAATTTCATACAAAAAACTACCTCAATTTGATCACAAATCATCCTCTCCAAGGCTATGCAACATGTGAGTTTCAGGATTTGAACCTCTGAGAGCCATGTGATTTGTGTGATGCATGAATGATTGAGGCCTCCAAATTATGAAATACATACAGTTCTTTTTTCTTTTTCTTTTTCTTTTTTTTTTGGATAAGTGACTAAATGCAGATTACCGCGTATGGGTGTAGACCAATGTCTCTCAAATCAAATGCTGATGACCCCTCTCATGTACAAGTAAAACCCATCTTTGAATCTCAAACCAGTTTGCAAATTGGCCAAGTTGAATATGATCCAGACCAGTGTCAGCCAAGAGATGCTATTAAGCCTTTGAGCTGCAAGCCTAATAGCCATTTTTTCCCTTTGAAGTAAAGAATCTGCTAAACCCACGTGAATGTTTCTCTGGAGTTGTAGAAGATAAAAAAGATGATCCAGACTTGGTAGGCCGATGTTTTGGATGCTTTGAACTGATTGGTGATTTTGCTTCAGTGTCAGAGGGGCTGAAATGAGAATTGTATAGATCCATTGGAGACTCATTGCCAACTCTGTGTGAAAAGGTAGAGATGGCTTTGTCCATCTCGGTCTGATCAAAATCACGAAAGTTCATGTCACTGGTAGTTGGTTCTTCTTCAGTAAAGTCCTCAGACTTCTTATTCCTCTCTTTGTATGGCGATCCCATAAGCTCTGTTTGAGGACGCAAACCTTTCAATTGCTTGCCAAGAAGAAATATGGTTTCTTGGCACTCTGCCAGCTTTTCAGCCGCAGCAGCTATGTCTCTCTCCTGCTATGACGACAAATGCTCGCAAGTTAATATTTTTTGATCCATCAACCCAGTTGTTGAAACTAGGAACTTGTAGCATTATAATAAGTTCCAGGAAATCATATGACATGAAAAGCAAAAAGATATAATATAACATCAAATTCACAGGTCAAAGTTTCATTTCATCCTAGCTATAAATCAGTATACCCCAATTGGTGGGGATTCTTTGACTGATTAGCATGAATAAAACATTTGATTATCACATCCAAAATGCGCAACTTAATATAGTATGAAAATTCAGCTAAGAAAACAATGAGCAGAAAGAGCCAAATTGTATAGAGCATTCAATGGGGAAACTTGTGATTCTGATGATAAGTCCAAAGAAAGGCACCAGACCCTAAAAGCTATTAACATATGTTTTTAAACTTTATAATCTTGATATGAATATACAGATTATAGCTCTTGATCCAGGACTCATTACATAATATTTTCAATCTCCCCAAAATTTAAAAAAAAAAAAGAAAAAAAAAAAAAAAACTTATTAATACTCGTGCTTCCTGTCCAACATTTAGTTAAATATTGAAATAAAATCATCAAGCACTGAAAGAAGCATATCATAATCTGCTCAACTGAGTTGTATAACCCATGTTGCCATGCCAGACATTATTCAGTGTCATTCTAAACACCCATGGCATCCATAAGATTCCTAATCTAGCCCTTGATTACACCCTCTTATCCTCAACATAGGAAATATTAAAAGCAGTGTTTGATGATAAACTTGTTTGATCATAAGCTCCCATAAGTTCCAACTTTCTGAACAGCTTGACCAAATTTCTAAGTCTCACAAGCTAGCATTTTATGTTAGTTTGTATAACACACTTTTACAATGAGGAAATGCGATTTTGTGAATATTTATATATTTATGACCAGTGATGTGTCTTATATTACACTACCAATCTGTGTCATGCTTAAGAAATACGTGGTATTGCTTTAATTTTCATGTCCAGATGTCCTCTTATATACATATATAAAACATTCAACACTTGTGTTACTTTACAAATAATCAAAACAAATCAAGCTTTAAGACCATATAATAACAAAAACATGATGCATTTTTAAGTGTAACAAGTCTTTGAGACAAAAACCAGAGCCAATTATAAAAAGTTGGGATGCAATGCAAGTTATGAAGTCTCAAATTTATAAAATGTTGGTCGTGACTTTGTATACAAGCATTAATAAATCATCCATATTATAACTAAGATAGATACCAACTCATTCCACAAAGTTTCACATTTCAAGGGTCGTGTAGAACTCTTATGGCCACTTACACACCCTAATATTTACAAACAAGAGTGGCAAGACTGAGTGAAACGAAATGAAAGAGTATGGAACGCAACTGTATTTCTTAAAAAAAATAAATAATAAATAATTTAGAGACTAAGCATAACTTTTCATTGTAAAATTTTAAATTCCAACAGCATTCAGAGGCAGATCCAATCATAAATAAGCAAATAAACAAAATCCTAAAGCAAAGTATGACTATCTGTTAAAATTTCAGACTCTTACTTTCAACACAGGCTAGGTGAAGTTAGAAGTGAAAGCTTATGAGCATTTGAACAACTCCAAAATTGGAAACACAAGGTGGATATAAGTATAAACCCTCACCTGGTTAGTCGTCACATCAACATCAGCCACTGTGCAACTCTCATTCCTTTTAAAAATAAAAAATAAAAAGAATCAGAGATAAATCAAAATCTACTTGAGGCATGAATACATATAAACAAACAAATATATAGACGAAGAGAGGGCTACCAATATTTATTTCAAGGATTCAAGTCCCTACAGGTGAATGGCTGCAAATTAACACCGCTTGATGAAACCCTATCTTTTACTTAATAATTGTGGGTACGGGAAATGCATCAGAACTCAGACCAAAAGAAAACTAAGGGAAATGCAAGATATACTTTCCGAAAATCGTTGAACTTCTCAGAAGAGATGAGGATCAATGGGTCACATGTAAAGGTTCATTTATCTACATTTCTACTTTCCATGAATAACATAGTTAACCACATAAAACATATAGAATGGAGCAGGTTTGATATAATAAAACCTGATCCTGGCCTGATATTGATCAGGCCTTAAATTGAGTCTGCAACTATCCTTTTGGACATTGTACCTGACATACGTATCAGTTTGGGCAGGATGGCCAGCATGCAGGAAAAAAGGTAGGAACTAACCTTCGCAATTGCTCTTGAAGATCCTTGAATTTGGCCAAAGCATCCTGATGGTTCCGCCTTTCCTCTTGAAGCTCATTATCTAAATTTTCTGTTTTGGCCCGCAAAAGATTAACTTCAGTTTGCAACTCCTCTGCACGTGTTTCAAGAGACTTGTATGACTCGGCCATACATTTCAGCTGTGTCTCAGCCAAGCTGTTCAACTTTTGAGCAGATGCCAATTGTGATTTAAGTTCTGCCAGAAGCTGCTCTGTTCCCTGTAGCTGAGCCTTGGTGCTTTCCAGATCTGAAACCATGTTATCTTTTTCTAATTTCAACTGTTCAAACTCCTCAAGTGAGCATTGCCCTGATGTAGCATTTGATTCGAAGGTTGGGATGAAACTTCCTTCATGGGGAATGTCAGGATCAGAAGTGGAATCAGAAAAGTGAGCACAACCATTTGGATATGCGTCTCCTGATGTGTCCCGAACCACCTTATTTTCAGGTAAAGCGACCTTGTCTATGCAATAAGAACTATTGGCTTCTGCTTCATTATTCTTATAACCCAGGACATTAAAGTGAAGTTCACTGGCTTTATTCAAAACACGAGAAAGGTCAAGAACAAAATCAAGCAAACTTAGTTTGCTGTTAATAACCTTATCGAAGGTGGCAGAGAACTTCTGAATTTTTTGGCTCAGTACATCCCCATCAGGAGATGTTCCCTGGACAGCTGTAGCTTCATTCCCCAGAACCAATACAAAGTCATGAATCCAAGATATAGCAGCTACCAATTCTTCATTAATGGAACTATCTTTGGACAAACACATTTCCTTCTCTTCGGTTACTTCAGTCCCCTCAGAACAAGCCTGCCTATCACAAGTGGCATCAGAGCAGTGACTTTCCATGAAAACACAACCCACGGTGTGCAAATGCAGGCTATCCTGTGTTTCCTGCACAACACATCTGATGTCATCCAAAATCTTTTTCATGTCAGCATCCTTGGACTCAAACAACATAGAGATTCGCATTTGGAGTTTCATCAAGGGCAGTGGATCAATATCAGATTGTCGATCTGGTACTGGCAATTTCATATTAGACTCATGATTTGCTAACAAATCCAACTCAGGCTGTTCTTTAGAATGGAAATGTGGGTTCATTGTAGTATCTTGGTTTGCAATTTCAGATCTCATATTATTTGAAACATCTGAACCAGAGATGGCTCCATTTGAATCATTTGATAAATATGCCAATTTCTCCATCTCCAGGAAGTCATCCATAAGCTCCAGGTGATTTTCATTTTCAGCCTTGTTGGATTTCTTGATGTTCTTTCCCTTGAAATGGGAGAGCTCAGAGATTGATGTTGTAGCCCAAGAACCAGCACAACTTCTTTCATCATCATTTCCATCTTCAGACATGGAGGTGAAGCTAGGTGGACTGATAGCATTTTGACTGAGGGAACCTTCAGTGGGGATCTGAAGACTAGATTTTGATGGACTTTTTTGTTGATTATTAGCACGCAGTTGTGATTCTAAATTTTGAAGCTTGCTGACTGTCTTAGCACAAATATTCCTGGAAGCTTGCAATTCACTAGTACGCATTGCCAAAGCTTCTTTCAACATCTTTGTTTCTTCTTCCATTGCCAAAAGACGGTCTGTGAGAAAATCATTCTCTTTATGGAATTTTGGTACACCATCAATGGAAAAGTCAGGCAATTGGGGTGGGTGTGGACTAGGAGGCCTTAGAGGAGACCTCCTTACTCGAGTTTCTCCATAATCCCGGCCCAAGCTCTCTACTTCTAACTTCATTTGAGCCAGTGCTGCAGGACCTGGCAACTTCTTCCGAACAAGACCACGCAATCTTTGGCACTCTGCTTCCAGCTTAGCTATTTTCTTCACTCCTTCCAGATGCTGCTTGTTGGCTACTTCGGCAGATCTTACACTCATATTCTTTTCCTCATTGCGAATTTCTAGCTCTTTTGAAATTATGTGGAGTTCATATTTTAGGGAATTTATTTCTCTTTCACACGATTCCATATTGCTCTTCAATAATTCAATCTCTGCCTCTGCTTGTGATTTTTCTTCGTTTATCATAATCAGCATGTTAGAACGTTCCTGCAATGACCTTGAAAGTGCAGCATTCTCTGCTTCTGACCTGAGGAGTTCTTGGTCCAAGTTACTCATCTTTGCTTCAAGTTCAAGCTTTATTTTATCCCACTGCTTCGTTTTGGTAAGAACAACTTCATGCAATTTTTGTTCGTGTTCTTCCTTCAAATTTCGTATCTGCCTCATGCACTCTTTAAGAGCACCATCAAAATGAGAAGCTCGATCTTCAGCAGTAAGCTTTAATAGTGTGACAGATTCTAGATGATTTTTCAGCGCTAAAGCTTCTGCCTCAGCCTTTTCCCAACCTGGAGAATAAAGAGATTTTAGGTTCTAATCTATGACAAATACACAATTTAAAAAAACCCTTGGTCCAAAGGCAAGGTTTATTTCATTAACTACTTTCATGTGAAAAGAAAGAGATTCAATGTATTTTTACATAAAAGGAATAGCATATGTGCACAAGTTTCTTTTCCTTCTATAGATCTCAATTATATCAAAACACACCTGAGACAGCTTCTTCAGCAACTTTAGCATGTTGTTTCACTATGTTGTCCTTATTAGTCACCTCTATTTCGGCTGCGGATAGCTTTTCATTCAATTCATTAACTTGATCCTCTAAAGTCTTCACTTGATCCTCCAACCCAGTTAGATGTGAATATGACTCCACGGAGATTTGGACATAGTTTTGCTTTTTGTAATTACCCTGTTACAGGAGAGGAGAAAAGGTGTTAATTAAAAGAAACAATAACACAAAATGCAAAATTACCAAAAAACACTAACAAGCTAGCGATTTATGTTTTCGACTACACATTCCGAAAGATGGTCACTTGTTTTTCCTAAACAATAAATATAACAATCCAAAGTGATTCCAATATTTTTCTCAAGTGTTTTTCCTTGAGAGAAAAAATCAAATACAATGAACTAAAATATAGAAAGAGTAAAGTTTTGGCATGACAAAATGCAAAAACAATGGGCCATAAATGCTTCTAAAATTTTGTTATGCATGATGAATTTAAAGAATAATACACTATATTTTATTGGATGTCTAATAATTAGATGAAAATTGTACTCACAGTTTAAAGTATCTTAAATTCAAATAGTGTGATCTATACAAGCCTAATCCTTTCGAACTGCATTTTAGAACATATGGTGTACCACGTTCCCGTTACCGTTCATTGTACCGGAACGATCCACGTTTCAAGTAGCATACCACAAAATGTTAAAAAGAAAAATAATTGGATCGATTGGATGAAAATGAAAAAGATCCAAAAGCAAGGAACTATCTCACTGGATCCACTTCCAATAGTGAATCTCAAATTGCAATATTCTAGCAAATCAAAAAAATGAAACAAGTTCACTGAAATAATTTAATCAGCAAAAGAGAGCACAAAAACTTGCTCAAGATAAAAGTTCCTACTGATTTGTACTTATAATATTCTAATTCCAAGTTTATTTCAATATATAGTAGTAACATCACATTTTGCTGAAACAGTTCTCTTCATCCCAAAAACACTTGAAAATGTGCAATTAGAGCCATTTGAAAGCTTCACACTAAATTTTAAGTGCAGTAACTAGGCAAAAACATTTCATGTCTTAATAACTGCAGACAGGAACACAAACACAAGTTTGACTTCACTCATAAAAGCTTCGCTTTTGATGTGTCATATTCAGTTTGATAAGTATATTCCAAAGTATATTCATTCTCACATTCCTTTCAACATCGATGTTGCAGGAAATTACTATTGGCAACACAAATAGTCATAAGGCTGGTATGAAGGTAGAAATCTCTAGAGAAGCATATAACAGGCTTGATGAGCAAATCCAGATCCAACAAGAACCTTCAACAGATTTTAAACATTTGAAGTGGTATGCATTAAACAATCAAATGTATTCAAAACTACATTTAATCAATTCAACCAAACCAAACTAAACTATGCCCCCTAGCAAGTGGGTTTGGCTACATGAATTCTTTTTCACCATTCTACTCTATCAACGGCTTTAGGCTCAATTAAATTAAATAAATTCATATCTTTTTTTACTACTAAATCCTATGTTGACTTAGGTCTTCCCCTCCCCTTAAAATCTCCATTTATGGTGATCATATCACTCTCTCACTGTTGCATCTATAGGTCTTCATTGTACAAGACCAAACCAAATTAACCTACTCTCTCTCAACTTATCTTCAATACGTGCTACTCCTAACAATTCATGAATATATACATTTCTTATTCTATCTTTCCTAGTCTTCCCACACACCCATCTAATCATTCTTATCTCAATTATACTTACTTTATGCACATAATGTTTCATAGTTGCCCAACACTATCCTGTAAAGTATCATTTCCCTAACATATGTCTTATAAAATTTTCCTTTCAATTTTCTTGGTGTTCATCAATCACATAATAAATGCATTCCTCCGCTTCAGCCAACCCACTTTGATTCTATTGACTCCCATCACCTCCAACCTCACAATCATTATTAATAACCAAACCTAAATGACGAAGATAACTACAACACAATCAGAGGGCTCTTCATAGGATTCAAAGAGGACTAGATAACTACGGAAGTAGTTATGGTCATTAATTTGAAACCTACTATCATGGGAAAAGATATTAACATAAAAAATCTTGGAATACAATCAATTTTTAAACAGAATGAAGAAAAGAAATCATAAAATGGGTTAAATGTCAATAGACATACCTGATCACCCTGAGAACCAGTTGCAGCAGCAGCAGAGTCTGAGGCAGGAGCTGCTTTCTCAGCCCCAGCCTTGTCAGATGATTTCTTCTTCCACGGCCAACTCCGCCTGTCCATCTCAGACTGTATAATTTGCACATAACTAGTTATTGACAGACTATGGATTAACAATATTTTAAAGAAGTTGACATAAATGAAAATGCATCTTTTCCCTTTCTTTTTCTTTTTCCTGGAATTTTAAGCATAAGCACCATTTGTTAATTACTTAAGAGGTTTGAGCTACAATGCCCTGCCGTCCCTTCATTGAACAATGTTCAGCCAAAATTACACTCTAGTGAACTCGTAGTTATACTTTGAAATTAATGAGCGAAGCTTTCTTGCCCAATAAGTTTTTTGATTGAAACAAAGTTCAACATCAATCAACATAGGAAACTGAATCATTTTGAACTCTATTTCTGATGTTTCCCAGTACACCTAACCAAATTTCATTCATTGTTTTTTTATTTAATGAAAGTGAAATGATGCAAAGGGCGGCTTGGACCAACAATAAAGGCTTTTCATTAGCATCGTGGTGATGTGCATTCGAGTCATGAAACAGCCTCTCCAGAAATGGTGTAAGGCTATTATGTACATGACCGCCCTAGACCCCGCTTTAGTGGGAGCCTCGTGCATTACGTTCCCATTTTTTAGAAGTGAAAGGATGAACTTGCAAGAATATTTACATAATACCAGGTCAGACATACTGACAAAACTGATAGTCATTTTGGAGCCGACCATTTTCACCAGCCAGCTAATCAAGTAGAATGCAACAAAACATTCAATTACCGACATGATCAGAAAAATAGTTAAGCTAGAATTTACATTATCTCTCAACTTATATCCAAAAATCTAATATTCTTATTGCGAAGATTGGAGAGAGAGAGAGAGAATCCAATATTCTTAGAAAAATGTTTGGGAGCTCTAAATTGAGAACACTAAAAGAGCTCTAGAGAGTGGGTCCCACTGACTGATGTGATATTTTGGCCTTAAGTTTTTTTTTTTGAATTCCAACTCATTAGTGGTGATGTGATATTTTGGCCTTAAGTTTTTTTTTTTTTTTTTTTGAATTTCCAACTCATTAGTGAGCCATTAGTGCTCCCAAATTAGTGAGATGTATCATTCTTATCTTCACTTGACTGTACGAAATATATTAGTTATGACATGAGTAGTAACAATCTTCATTAACCAACAATAAAAAATTATAGAATAAAAAATTAAAAATAATAACAATAATAATTACAAAAGATGGGAAACTGCAAGAAGAAGTTATGTTGTGAAGAGTAAGCATCACCTAGAATGACTCCGTCAAGGGATAAAATAAAAATAAATAATCTATTGCAGCAAAATTCTTTGAAAAAAAGAGAAAGATGTCACTGAGTTTTTTACCCACTTAACAATTTGATATTTTGCCTTTTTTTTATTATTATTTTAATTTCTTCATTGTGAGGCTCCATGACTAAAAAAAAGATAGGACTCCAATCCAACAAATTTCTATTTTGATTGGGTATGAAACTCAAAGACTTGTATCAAAACAAATGTTTAGAACAAAGGGTACCCAAGATATATATATATATATATATATACATATCTTTTGGCTTCTTTTTTTTTTCTTCTATAATTGAGAAACTGGGGAAAAGAAAAAAAAGAAAAAAATACATAAATACAACCGACTTACCTGAGATTAGATAGGTGAGATTTTTCAGTATTTTGTTCAGAAACAAAATAAAGCAGAAAATATAAGAGAAAATGGGGTTCAAATGTAAAATGCTCATCATCAAGTTCAGAAACAAAATAAAGCAGAAAATATAAGAGAAAATGGGGTTCAAATGTAAAATGCTCATCATCAAACAAAAAAGTAAAAAAAAAAAGGGGAAAAAAACAAAACGAGCAGTGCGAAAATTGGTAGAAAACAGAAGCTTTTGATCATGACACGACAAAACTATCATGGTTCACATGCTTCACTCAACCAACACTGAATCAAACGCTTTATACATTCTAATAAAGCCATCGATTGCGAGATATCAAAACAAAGAGCTTCGAAGACTGACGATTATTGAATCAGATGAAATAATCCTAAAATTGGGAGATTGACAATTCGAAATCAAGAAAAGACACAGTAAGCAACAGTGAGAGAAGAAAGAGCAAAGAAATTGTGATTTCGCCACAAATCACTGATAGTGTAGCAAATTTTCAGAGAAACAGCAATAAAATCTATCAAAACGAAAAACAGAACATGAAAATCGCCTTACATTTTGGAATTGATAGCCAAAATCGAAGAACGAGAGAGAGAGAGAGAGAGAGAGAGAGTTTTCGAAAAGCAAAAACAGTAGTAGTTTGAGAGACGCCATCGATTAACTCGGAAAGGAAGACTCAGAGAAGACTGTAAGTACAAACAATCGACTTACCACTATCAATGCAGCTCCTGGGGAGTAAAAGAAACAGAATTTGAGATATTCAGCTACAGAGGTAAAGATCTAATTTCAACTTTTGCTCTCTGTTCATTTCATTTTCTTCTTCAGTTCTATAGAGAGAGAGAGAGAGACAGAGAGAGGGAGGAGGTGGAGGTGGTGGTGGGTGGGGGGTAAAAAATATTGGGCGTTAGGTGTTACGCTTGAGAGGCAGGACGTTGGAATGCTCCAAAACATTGCAGCTTTTAAACTTATAAAAAAATTCCCAAGAAATAAAAATTTACTTGTGTTTTTTTAAAAACACTTTTCAAAAAATTATATTTTCTTATTTTTTGTATTTTTTGTATTTTTATTGAATTCTTTTAGTATTTTAAGTATTTTTTTTATTTTTTAGACATATCTAACATAAATATATCTAAAAAATAAAAAAATTGTTAAAAAAACTTTTAAAAAATCAATAAATATACAAGAATATAAAAAATGTACTGAATTAAAGTATTTTTTTGTATTTTTGGTATTTACATCTAAGTAAAGTGCATCTAAAGATAAAAAAAATATATTTAAAATTTTAAAAATATTCACTAAAAACAAAAAAACACAAAAACCAAAAAACTGAGTTTTCAAAAAATTTAATTCAAAAAACTCAAACCAAACACACCGAATAAATTCTGTTAAAAAAACTTTTTCAATTTTGTGGAAATATTTTATTTATTAGGAAAATTTAGCCAAAATACCTTACCTTCATTAGATTCTTATTTGGTAAAAATAATAACCTAATTTATTTTCTTTCATAAATTTGCGCATAATTAACCAAGGGCAGAGAATTTTTTTCTTGGACAATATTGCTCATGTATATATATATATATCTCATATAACTGTTTTGACAATAACACTTTTATTTTATTTTATACAAATTTTAAAATGTTATGTATGTGTACTTTTGGTTAGTTCATCTAATATGTACTCTCTTTTTTTGTAACAATAAAATATTAATGTGAATCAGAATAACATGTTACTGTTTATATCAATTTCAACAGTATTTTTTTATTTTTTATTTTTTAAGAATTTCTTAATCAATATGAATCTTATTTGATAGATCTTAATGAAAGAATTCTAAAAATATTAATTTTATTAAAAATTAACATTTATATCAAAAGTTATATTATTTTAAAGTTTAAAATATTAAATTACTCACTATATATACTTTGGTAATAGTAGTATGTGTTGGATTTTTCTTTAAAAAAAAATTTGTGTTTGTCCTTAATGCATTAAAATTTTATTATAAAGGGATTTGATAAAATTTCCCTATTTATTACTCACCCAAAAAAAAAAGTAATATTAAATACCATAAAATTTCCCTATTTATTACTCACCCAAAAAAAAAGTAATATTAAATACCTATAATATAAAATAAAAATTTAAGGATTTTTTGGGGATAGGATTTTAAGGTTTTCTAAAGTAATTTTAGAAATGGGTGAAACTATAAAATAAAATAAATATTGAAAAAAAAAAAGAAGAGATATAGGGTTGGTTTGGGAAGTGGGTTGGTTTTTTGACTTTTTGATTTTTTGACTATTTTAACTTGGGCTAAAAAGTTTAGTTTGGGAAAGACTTTTTGACACTTTTTTTGTAAGAGAAGAGTGTAATGATTATGGATTGAATGTGATATTTTGTTTGTTATAGTTAAAATAACTTATTTTGTCTTTTATAATTAAAATAGATAAAAGAGTCCACAAAATCACTTTACAAACGGTGCCTATAATGAGCTTTTTGTTGTGTAAATGGAATTATTATTTTTTTCTTTAAAGGTAAAAGGAAATGATTGAGTTCGTAAATGACAGATTTATCCTATGCAAATCAGAAATTGATGTAGAGGGACAACACGCACGCTTTTGAAAGAAGCAATCGGTGAGTTGAATCGGATTGGGGTGCGGATGGTTTGGGATAAAATTAAAATTAATTTGTTATTTATAGTTTTATAAAAATTAGAATTAATCTACTCTATTTTAATTGTGAAATCAATTCGAATTAAATTATTTAAATATAATTTGCTTGGTTTGTAACCACAGATTTACATAATCTATTAAAAACAAAAATATATAACATTTTCATTTCAACATTAATTTGTTCATAATTTTTCAAAACATACATATACATATTGTTTCACCATTAATTTAAACAAATATATCATTTAGTTTTATAGCAACAATAACAGTAGCCATCAAGCCTTCGTTGGGATGTGAATTGATTTTTTGACTTTTTAATTTTTTGGCTATTTTGACTTGGGACTAAAAAATCTCATTTGTGATCTATTTTTTGGCTTTTTTGACTTTTGTGAGAGAAAAAATAAAATAATTATGGTTTGGATGTAACATTTTGTCTTATTGAATTTTTAGCCTCCGTTTAGAAGTGGGTTGGTTTTTTAGTTTTTTGGCTATTTTAGCCTGGTTTGGGAAGTGCTTTTTTGCTTTTTCGCTTTTTTGGCTTTTTTTTGTGAGAGATGATTGTAATGATTATGGGTTAGATTTGATGTTTTGTTTTTTGTGGCTATTTTAGCCAAAAAAGCCTGGCTTTTTTCTTCCCAAGCGGAGCCTTAGTCTATTTTGTCCTTTGTGGCTAAAATATTAACCTCGTTTGGCAAGTGGTGATTTTAGCCACAAATCAAAAAAGTTACTAAAAAAATCAAAAAACCAACAACCTATATCAAAAAGTCAAAATTTTAATTCTCTCTATTTTTTGCACATCTTTTCATAAAAAATTAAAAAATTATCCCAAACATAATTTTTTTTACATCATATTTTAGTCAAAAAATCAAAAAGTTACTTAAAAAAACATGTTCCCAAACGAAGTTTAAATTACAAAAAAAAAATGTTATGAATTAAGGTCTTTGTTATATATATAAGAGGTATGATAATATATATCAGGGATGTATGGTATGAATATAATTTCACAAAAAAAAATTTAGATTGTTTCAGTAATCCTAATCACATGATTTTATTATGTCTCAAAAAAAATTAAAAGTTTTATTTTTAAAAACATAATATTATTCATTTTTTAAAGAAAAAATATATTAAAATCATGTAGTTATAATCATAGATAAAATCTCTAATTTTTCGTTTGGAAATAGGCTATTTTAGTAACTTTTTTTTTTTAGCTAGAATATGAGGCAAAAAAATTAGTATTTTGGAATGACTTTTATTTTGTACGAGAATATGTGTAAAAAGTAAAGAGAAAAAGAAAATCTTTTAATATTTAGTAAAGGCGGTTGTATTTTTAGTCCTTTTTTTTTGTGACTTTTTGACTTTCAAATTAAAATATTGAGTTGCCAAGGCTTTAAACACAAGAGTATAACCTAGGATGACCCCACAGTGTGGTACAATCCACTTATGTATAATATTAGGACTTGTATCAAGTACAGATTTAAACTTGTGTGTGTCAATTTCCGACAACACTGCCAATCAAGCACTCAGCTGGAGAACACTGGTGAAATAGATTAAGCCCGAACGACTTGTCATAAAAAGAAGAGATTCCAGAGGTGGTTCGTCCACCCAGGGACACTCCGACGATCAAGTCAGTTATCTCTCAAAGATAGCAAAAGTGCTTAACTCACTATTCAGAGCATAAAAAACATACCTTAGACCCATGAGGGCAGGGCTGGCCCTGAGATTTGTGAGGCCTAAGGCGAGCAATGAAAATAGGGCCCCTCTAATATATTTTTTTAAATAAAAAATTTATGTATAAAATGATAAGTATTCACAAATATTTTTTTTAAATATACTTGAACATATAATCATTAAAATTATAAACTAAAATTAACTTTCATATACTTGAATTAATTGTTCTACTTTCATCCTCTTTTTTCTCTTTTCATTTCCAGAACTATACTTCCTATGAAACATGGCTATAATCCCAAATACTTCAATCCACAAATCACAAACACTTCAATCCACAAATCACAATCCACTGATCTAATAGCAAATAAATTATAAAAAAAAAGAATTTAATGAAACAAAATTAGGGCAAAAAATTTATTCAATTAAAACTGATAAATACCTAGGTAAAAAAATTAGGGCTAAATTATTTATTCCACTAAAATCTAATGAATAAAGAAGGTGAAAAAAAATTAGGGCAAATTTATTATTCCATTAATTGATAGAGAAAGAATGTAGAAAAAAAAATTATGGCAACTTTATTTAATAAAATCTGATAGTGAGAGAGAGAGTGTGTGAGAAAGAGTGAGTCGCCGGAGGAGTGAGTGAAAGAGAGAGAGTGAGTCGCTCACAACAATGTTGTGCTTTGCATCTGCCTTGCCGTGAACTTGGTACATATTGCCGTGATCTTCATTTCATTACTTCGTTAAAGAGAGAGAGATTGAAAGCAAAACAGTGCACTGAAGTGAAACTGATGTTGTTTACAGTGTATGTATGGTTTGGGTTGGGCCCAAACACTTCTTCTGTATTTGTTTTTTTTTTTTTTTTATAAGTTTTCATTTTAATAAATATGGGTCAAACACATTATAAATAAATATGGGCTAAATTTTACATGGGCCCAATAAAACATTTTGGGACCCTTTAAATTGATCTTAAAATATAAAAAAAAAAATTTAAAAAGGGTTGGGCCTATAACAATTTAATAAGTTTGGGAGCCATTTTTTTGGGCCAAAATTTGGGGCCTAAGGCACAAGCCTTACCTGCCTTAGGTCAGGGCCGGCCCTGCATGAGGGTGTCTCTCTTTTATAGCCAACACAAACCTAGTCCCAATAGAAGCCTAGCTTCAATAGACTTAGGATTACTGCTAATTTTGGACTCCCAGTAGGATTGGGATAAACTCTCTAAGAGTTTTATCTTTACCCAAACTGAAATCCTCTCTCATTTTAGGACTCTTGTCTCTTATCCGCTTATCCCGGATTCTGATATCTTCGCAGATAACCTCGGCCTAGCTGAGATGATCTCAGCGTCATGACCAGGACACGTGGCACCTCGGTTGGCACTTCGGTGACACCTCGGCCATGTGTTATCATTCAAAAATTATGTCCCCACATTACTAATATAGTGTTAATATATGAGATAATAAATAAAATGTGATTAATAATTTTACACTTGTTATCATTTTTTACTATATTTTGTATATCAGGCCTATTGGATGTAATTTATTATAAGCTAAAATTTGATAATCAAAAAGCAAAAATTA